TTAAGCGTGGAAGACTGTCCGAGAACTCGACCTGATTAGATAGTCGGTCCGGAGAGTTAGCGCTTCGGGCTCGATATACGGGTCAGTCTTAAGGCATTCTACCGCGCGTATGCCTATGCTACGACGATCGAGAAAACGCCCTCTGCTGGCCTACCTCTGCGATTGCATATAAAAGCCTTCGTATGTGGGTCAGTAGCTCAGCAGGGATACGCCCGCCTAAGGGATGGTGACAGCTCCCGCAGGTGTACCTCGCGGGATCCCTTACCTGTCGTAGGGAGTCGCAAGAGGTGTAGCACGCGCGCACGGTCGGAGTTGGTATTTACGTAAAGTGACAAAAAGAAAACTCCTGCGTGACACGACCGTGAGGTCCAACACCAAAAACTTACTCTACGTATGGGTGTGGGACCGCCGCGCACGACAACGGTCACCGAAATCCAAAGTGTGTGGCTCACAACTCTCTCAGTTGTGGCCGCTCCACTTCGCCATACTCCCCATCTCGCCTTCAGAACCTCTCCAATGCAGCCCCAATCGCTCGTTGACCACCAAGGATACCGCCAAACCAACTCGACAATCCTCACCAGCTCAAACAACTGCGTTCGTATCCCAAGTTGGCCCCACTTGGTCTCAAATTGATCCCAAGCGGCCCCGGTCGATCCCACATTATTGCCCGCAATACCAGATGGTCCAGAACTCAAAACCACTTGCATTGCATGCGGCAAAAAAATAAAGATGTCCGGGGTGAAAAAACGCATGTGCCGCGAGCCCCAATAGTCACTGTCGCGTGCACTCATTCCGCACTTTTTTCATGATGCCGGTCCACACACCACTTCCGCCCAATCCCAACTGTGCACCACTATCAGTCCATCCTCCAGCAAAAATAACAGCGGACCACTGCTCGCTGCATTGTCAAAACCGGTATCATGGCTGCCTCACAACCCCACCACCTGATCACACACAAAAAACTGCCTCTGCTGTGATGAAGAGGACCCGCAACATCTTCCCTCACATTAGTGCTGCCGACATGTCGGTAGCATAATCCCAATGAAAATATTGCTGCCGCCGCCAATTCCAATACCATGATCTCACTGAAGAATGTTGCCGCCGTCGTGCCAAGCCCCCCGGCAACATTTCCTCACTTACAGCATCACTGTCGCTGTGCAAAACCGGCAGCGCTTCCGCACCAATGCCGTCAAGCCCGGTGCCACCGCCGCAAAATTTCGGCAGCGCTTCCGCGCCACCGCCGTCAAGCCCGGCGCCGCCGCCACAAATTTTCGGCAGCGCTTCCGTGCCACCGCCAATAAAGTTGCCGCCACTGAAAAAATTCGGCAGCACTTTCGCACTACCGCCGCATCCGCCGCCGAAAAAGTAGTAGAGCCTCCCCCCCACCGTCGTCGCCATGGTTGCGGCTTTGGCCGACAGCACCTCCACCCTCGCTGAGATAGTGGCTATGGCAGCCTCCACTCAGCTTCCACTGCAGACCTCCTCTCTCCTCCTCCCTCCAGCAGCTCAACAACACCTCCTCCCAGCAGCTGGCCAACACTCAAGCAGAGTGTGGGCAGCACCTCAAATGAATGAGGTTGCTGCTGGCCACCCCAGCTTTTATACTTGCTAGGAGGGCTAAGGCCAACACTTCCACAACAGCCAAAATTCGGAGCTGATGTGGCCCCTTGATCTGAGACCCAGATCAAGGGTCCCAATTCTTGATTTTCCCCTAGGAGAACTAGGGGAATTCCAGAAGAAATGTACCTGGGTCTTTCCCCAGGTCCCATTCATGCAGGGAAGGCTGTATTTAGCCTTCCCTGGCTGTGTTTCAACAACATAGCAAGGTACAACCTTGCTGCATCTGGCCTGCCTCGCGGCCAGGTTCATGCAATCCCCTTTTCCACCTCCCCCCTGGTACACATGCAGGGATAATGCACGAATCTGGCCATACATAGGACCAAATTAAAAAAAAAGGAGAGAAAAAATTAAAACGAGTTCATAAAACATAGAGTCAAAAAAAAAAAAAATATACCCTGTCTACCCCATTTTTCAGCTGCACGAGCTGCTAAAAGCCCAGATCAAACTGCCAAGCTCACTTCATACTCACGGTGGTGCTGTTGCAGCCTGCATCTGACCGTGATCACAGCATAAGGGGTACTATTCACTGAGGGCACAGCCCCCCCAGCACCTCGTAATGATGTACCTACAGGGTGTCACGAGGTGAGTAAAGTTGTTTTTTTTTTTATTATTATTATTATTTTTTTTTTCCTACCTACCCCCTTGTTCCTCTGCGAGGGCCAGCCCGTTGCTTAGCAACGAACAGGCGGCCCAGGGGTCACTTCGGCCAGGTAGAAGTCGAGCTCAACAGGGGCATTTACCCCTAGCCACTTAGTCGTGCACTTGTACTAGGCACCACAAAAATGCCAGGTACAGGTGCACCCCTAACAATTTCTGCTTCACAATGGTAGGGAGACCGACATCGAAGGA